TACTTGTTATATATGGTCAAGAGCTAGATTGCTTGGCCTAGGCCGACTATGATGTTAATGATTGTGCCATTTTTCTTGTTTGGTAATGCATGAGCTTTTATTCTCAAACTATTACTATAATTTGTATGATCGAGAAGCTGATATTATGTTTTACCAATAACATATTAGACAAGGTTGTATACATATAAGATAATAGAGAAGAGAATTGTTGGTTTGACCTATGAACTATGTGAGAAAATAGACTTCTTTCTTTCATTTTCTTTACTGAAAGCTTTACTTACAACTATATTTAATTAATATCTCCAAAACTAGGAACTCTTTCATGTATATGTACTAGGGCCCAACACTATTTAGTATTGTTACTAATAATATTATTTTTAAATGTCACATACTTTTGCATTTAAATTTGCCGTGTTGGTTATGCAGATGGTGATAAATACACATTGCAAGTGCAATGCATTGAAAAAATAAGATATTTTATATTTGTAAATTACAATTACTTTACTTTCTCTAGTTGGTTTACCAATGGAAGCACTACTTTAATGCAAATGACATAAGAAAACAATGTAAGCACTTAGATAAATTTGTACTAAAGGTATCCATATTAAATAGAAAAGAATGTAGTTAGACAAGAGAACCAAGAATGTTGAATTTTTCTTGTAGTTATATAAAACATACCATATGTTTCACGCTACCAAAGTACATGCAAATAACCAAACAAAGCATAACCTAATCCTTTTGATAACTAATGCTATAACGAAGCTTTATCCCGACTGTCACTTTTTGTGTATTTAAAGTGACACTCACATATTAGCAGATATAATAGACATTTTTATCTCTATCAAAATTATCAGAATGAGTAGCAGAATTATTAACTAAATGTTTATATAGAATGAGCACATGTGGGAAAGATTTTACATGGAGATGAGGAACCATAAGAACAAGTAGCCGTGAGTCATAGGTAATATCAATACAAAAGTTTTTTTTTTTTACATCAAAGTGTAAGTTCACCAATAGTACGCAAGCCCAGACACGGGTTCAACATTTGGAAGCTCCTTAGTTCAATTCTTTGTCAGCTTTATTTATATCATATTTATTTTAATTAAGCTGGAGTTTGTTCTTCCCACCTTTACCCAAAGAAAGGGATAGTTCTTGCGGTATATTTCATATATAATCTTAATTTATTTTTTGAATTCAAGCAGTGGCGCGTTCATGTTACAAAAGTTAGGAAAAAACCCACCCTATTTACAAAATCATTATGAGATCTTCTAAAACTATTTGAGTAAAATGTGGTTGGGTTTGTGGGGTGAGGGTATGGGCATTTTATTAATTAATAATAACCTTACAGACTTATCCAATTAACAAAATCAATTCTAAGCATTGTTATCAAAATGAGCCTAGGCAATGGACTAAAAAATGCAATTAGTAAATTAAAGGACAACTAAAGTAGTAGACATATAATAGTGATGCAAATTCATATACGTCAAACCAATACTTTTAGCGAAAATGACATTATCATATACTTGTTGAGTAAGTGTTATCTCTTTTAGCAATTGTAAGATGAGCATGTAGCAGTTTAATATTTGAAATTCTAAAATGTATATTAAAATTATGACATCTCGACAACTCTTCGTTTTGATAAATTAATTTTTATTTTTTAAATTTTTATGCATGATTTATTTTATATTTGGTAGGGAAAAGTATGTATTTGATGTCAATATTTTTGAAGTATGATAATTGCACCTATATATTTTTATTTCATGTCCCCGTAACGTCCAATTAGTCTAATAGTAAAATTTTCACCAACCACATATAATTCTCTTCTTATCCATCTAAAGTCACAAATGCGATATTTAATTTTTGAAGGCTATCATCAGTACATTGAAATCACCCCGAGTGCCCAAAAGATTAAGAGCCTGTTTGGATTGGCTTAAAAAAAGTATCTTTTCAGCAGAAATAGCTTTTAAGCCAAAAAGCAGTAAGTTGGGATTGCCCAACTTATTGCTTTTGGCTTGTTTTAAGCAGTTTTTAACTTATTTTAAGCACTTTTTGACTTTGCCAAACACTGAAAAAGCTAAAAAGAGCTTAAAAGCTGTTTTGACCCGCTTAAAAGCCAATCCAAACACCCTCTAAGTGACATTAAAAATAAGTATTATGATAAAAGTTGTAATCAAACCAAGTTTACAATGAAGGTGCATATTCCTTGAATGTGGAAACTCGATCATGCTTATTGTAATTGTGTGATTTTTGATAATTAGTTTTTACCATTTCCTTTTTATCACCTCAGTGACATCAATTTTTGTTTGTAAAAATTATAATGGTTGTAGGTTTCTGTAATACATCTTAACATCTAGAATAATCCTAATAAGTGTTTGGCTTTTCTTATTATGTTTATCTTAAGGAAAAGGTAATATCTTTTTGTGCTTTAACGTAATTTTAGATAATATCAAGTAAGATTTAAATCCTAAATATTTGAACTACCAAAATAGTCATAAGAGTTTTAGTGGTACGTCTTCTTTTATGCTTTTGCTATGTTATTTTAACAACTGATTCGATTATTTATACTGTTACATACTTTAGTAGTAAGTGAATTATGCAGTATATGACACACAAAATTATTTAATGTAATATTTTAAGGGATAAGTTTTATAAATAGAGATGGGTACTCTGCCTAGATAATCATGTAAAAGTCACTATTATTTAGATCATGTTTTTATGTTCTTGCTCTTTTGCTTTGAATTTATGTTAATTATTAAAAATGGGTTCAACATTACAGTCTTCCTGAAAAATCTAATTTTACCACTTGTTCTTCAAATTAAATTTTACCAATACAAACAGTAGTTTTAGAATATTTAAGAAAATGGAGAAACTCCAAAGCTCTCAACTGAGGTTTAAAAGACCTAAAATGCTCTAGATTACATTTCAAGCATAGTATAATTTTTTTTCACAAACGTTTAAAATTATCGAGCACATATTAAACAATATATACAATAGAAAATGGGCTATAATTTACCTTGCTCACGGTATATGATGGGACCTAATAGAAAATCATAGAAATTTTATCCTCATCCCTTTATAACAAAAAGGTAAAATCCTTATAAATTGTACTCCCCATCTTACGTGGCTTAGTGGAGAATAAATGACTAAGCAGCTGTACATGCAGTTAAAATAGAGCTGATTATTTGGCCTTTGCAAAATAGTTCAACCGTACCCTTTATTTACTTATTCAGTATGATGGCAATTGTAGTAATAATGAGCTAATCCATGGGCAAATAATATTCCTTCAAGCTTACAGGACGACCCCAAGCTCCTCAACTGCCTCTTATTAACACTAGAAAATTAGAGAATGATACAATAGAACAGAATAAAAATGTAGGGGCCAAAAAGAACGAAAGGTGCCATACACTATCTCATCCGACCACAATCTTTCTTATTTAATAAAAAAAACTATATTGATAATAATTTATTTTAAATAAAATTTAGATAATTAGAAGTTACATTAAAAAGTCTACTATAAAGTATGTCCTTAATATTTGCATATTGGCTTTTGGCAACCATTTCTCAGAGAAGAAAAAGCAAAACACAAACAAAATCCATCCAAAAAAAAAAAACTAAAAGACTGGAGGTATGGAGGCAGGTCTTGCAGTCTAAAAGTTTCAAGTTGAGTAGGACCAAGACGAAATATTTGGAGTGCAAGTTCAACAATGTGTCGGGGGAAGCGGATGGGGAGGTGAGGCTTGACTCACAAGTCATCCCTAAGAGAGAGAGTTCAAGTATCTAGGGTCTATTATCCAAGGAGATGGGGAGATCGACGGGGATGTCACGCACCGTATAGGGGTGGGATGAATGAAATGGAGGTTAGCGTCTGGAGTCCTGTCTGACAAGAAGGTGCCACTGAAACTTAAAGGTAAGTTCTATAGAGCGGTGGTTAGACCGGTCATGCTGTATGTGACTGAATATTGGCTAGTCAAGAATTCTCATATCCAGAAGATGAAAGTAGCCAAAATGAGGATGTTGAGATGGATGTGCAGGCAAACTAGGCTGGATAAGATTAGGAATGAAGAAATTCGGGAGAAGGTGGGTGTGGCTCCCATGGACGACAAGATGCGAGAAGTGAGGCTTAGATGGTTCGGGCATGTGCGGAGGAGGAGCCTAGATGCCCCGGTTAGGAGGTGTGAACGGCTGGCTCTGAGAGGTACAAGCAGAGGTAGAGGGCGACTAAGAAATATTGGGGCGAGGTGATCAGACAGGACATGACGCAACTTCAGATTTCCTAGGACATGGCCCTGGATAGGGAGGCGTGGAGGTCGAGCATTAGGGTTGTAGGTTAGGGGTAGTTGAGCGTTTTTCTTCGTTGTTCTGGCTTGTCTGATAGTGTTTTATATAGGACTGCTAGCGGTTATTGTTTCATCACACTTTATTTTTTTTGTTTATTGTTTTTTACTTATGTTTTATATTTTATTTTTAATTTTTATTATTGCCATAATTATTATCCTTCCCACTTATTTGTTGTCACTTACGGTGCTGATCTTATTTGTATGTTTTCTGTTGTTATTACAGGTTTTTATCTTTGAGTTGAGGGTCTCTGGAAAATAGCGTCTCTACTCCTAGAGGTAGGGGTATGGGTAAGGTGTGCTTTCATTCTACCCTCCCGTATCCTACTTGACTTTACCCTCCCAATACCCCACTTGTGAAATTATTACTGCTTGTTTTTGTAGCGCGTAACCTTAACATATTTGCTCCGACGCACGAATCATTCTTCATCGATCCAACATTTTCGGATCCTACCCGACCCGATATCTTCCTTAAGCTCCGCAAATTCTCCGGATCTCATTTTGCGTCGATGAGACCTCGATTCAATCTACGGCGTAGAGCGGCCGACGTTATTCCGGTCACCGAGTTCATTTTCCGCTCAATTCATGGCAATATTCGACGATGAAGATGAGCCTCTTGCTCAATTCCTCGAATCGGAGATCTTCGCTCTCTCCGATCAGGCAAATTCTCTGAAATTTTTACATTCTCATTCTACTAGTTTACTTTCAGAATTGTGTTTTTGATATACAATTGTAAAATACATTTTTTACGGACCAGGTCAAGATCCGAATGTTGTTTCTCTAAGATTAGGGGGGTTTTGAGGGAGGAAATGATCAAAATGGTCCCTAATGTATAAGGGTTGGACTATTTTGGTCCTTGATATACACCCCTTAATGGTAATAGCCCTTAATGTATGTAAAAAGTGGATGTTTATGATCTTATGCCCTAAAACTAACAGTTCCTCCTCATGTATCCGTTAAACTTAATGGATTCAAAGCACAAGAATCCCCACCTTCGATTCCCAGAAAGTTGAGGATCAGATGGGACTTCATTTTTTCTCGGACAAAACTCAATTCACATGGCTGCAAAATACCACGAGTGCAGGCCATCCGAGAATTTGCCAAGACAATGGGTTGGATATTTCAGTTCTCGATTTTGTTACTTGAAGAAGTTAGAAAATAGCTAAAGAAAGATCATGTTTTCCACCTGAAAATTCCCCCAAAGCTGATTTGAGTTATAAATATCAGCATCCCCATCCTTTCTTGGGAACCGAAGGTTCCTCATTCCCAATTTTTGCTCATATGTTGAGCTTATCTTTTTCTTTATTTTTTTTGCTCCTTTCTATGGCTCGATAAGTATATGTACGCGTAGCTTTCATCATTATTTCCAGCTTCCTGTTTATTATATGAAATGTGGTTTATTCACTTTTTTCAATTGTCAAATGGAAGAGCACAGGAAATAAATTGCACCTACAATTGTGGGGGTTCTTTTTTTCAATTTTTTAGTTGGGATTTCCTTCACCCCTTTATATTTATATTCATTTATACATGCAACAATTTATCTTTGCCAATTGATTCTTGCTATTTGTGTACACTGTGTTTCTGAAAATCACTAATGTATCATGTACGGGTGTCTAGAGGAAGAAGAAGAAAAGAAAATTAGTAAAGTGAAGAGGAGTGCAGTAGGTAAGTGAAGAAAGGAGAGAGAAATGGAGTTTGTGGGCCGCACAGTCTGTCAACTACACTAATAAGAATCGACAACAAATGTATCTACACCGTTAAGTTTAACTTTTGTACCGTTAGTTTTAGGGCATGAGACCAAAAACATCCACTCTTTACATACTTTAAGGACCATTTCCATTAAGGGGCATATATCAAGGACCAAAACAGTCCAACTCTTATACATTAAGGACTATTTTGATTATTTCCTCGGTTTTGAGGTAACAAGAAGAATGGAAAAATAAATTGGATACTTCTAAGAGAAAAATAGTGAATTTGGGTTAATTTTTTTTAATTACCATGAGATATAGGGAAGAATGAAAGACTTGATTTTTCAGTTGCAATTATGTTTTCCTTAAGAGGAAATATAATTAATTGAATAGAAGAGGTAGTTGTGAACTATGTTTCCCCTTCATTTTGTTTTCATTTTTAATTACAAAAGAATGATAAAGATCAGTGGTAAACTTGTAGATAGGAAAACATGAGGAAGATCCCATTCATTTGTTAATTATCAGCTGCTAGTAAAACACGAGGAAAGTTCATGGTCTTTTTAGGATTTTTGTGTTTTTCTCTATTGGTTTCAATATTTAACATTTTTTTCATTGTTTCATCAGCCATGAGTTGAGGAAAATGGTTCTTTTCTATGGGCAAAATTAGGCAAACGGGTGATTATGTGCCTAGTAGACTAGTAACTTGTATGGTGCATCGTGCATGTGCAAAAATCATTGTTTTTCTGGGGATAATATCTGGAACTTTAGTGTTCGTCTTCTCTTTATGGTGGAAGAGTTGGAGGATATTTCATTTCATTTTCTTAGTCAAATTCACGTATGAATGACTGTCTGGTTTGCATCTGATCTTTTGCTACGAAAGAATGTGTGAATGCACTTAATTGGAATTTGGTAAATAGTTCTTCTGTTTCAGGAGGATGAGAGGATATCTTGGATGAAGGTGATGTGAAGAGGAAAAGTAAACACTTTGATGGAGAGGAGGAGCGAGTAACAAAGAAAATGAGAGTTGTGGAGGATGAGGATGAGGATGAGATAGAACGAAAGAGAAGCAGGAGCAAGAGGAAGAGGAGGAGGAGGAAGAGAAGAGGGAAGCAAAGGTAATGAAAGTTGAGGAGGAGGAGGAAGACAAGGAGGAAAAGGTGAGGGCATTATTATCATCTCCATCTTTGTCACCACCAACTGAAGTTGATTGTGCATCTTCACCTCCAAGGATGAGTCTGAATATCATGGATAATAATAATAACAGTGATGCCAGTACAAGCAGCGACATGAGGCAGGTTCCAAGTAGGATAGAGACTGGGATTCTCAGCAAAGTCCCTCCAGAATTGCTCCGTCACATCCTCAAGTTCCTTTCACCAGAGGTTATTTTTGCTGTTAATTATTTTTTAGCTTTGTCCAAAGTGCTTGTCAAAATATATACATTTGAAATCAAGAGAACAGATAGGGTGCAGAGGGCTAGAGCCATTTATGGTTTCGATGTGCATTTCTGTTTTGATTTTCTGTTGTCTTAAACATTATCAGTTTTTATGTAAAATCTGGCAGGATCTTGTGGCATGTTCATTGGTCTGCAAGTTCTTAAATTTTGCTGCTTCTGATGAATCCCTGTGGCGCTGGCTGTAAGTATTCTGCACCTTGTGTCCTCTCCCTTTGTCTCCCACTTTTCCACATCTCCCCCTAAATGGGTGAGTGTTTTAAACATTCCAATCATTTGACCCTAACAGATTGAAATTGCTATGCGTGAACCATTACTACCTTTGTGTTAAAAGACCTTTCATTCATTTACTTATTCATTCTCGACGAGAAGCATAAGCTCAATTTTTCATTTAAATTTATTGATGATGATTCATAAATTCAGGTACTGCATGCGATGGGGTCTGCTGCTCCCAACAAGAAAGCCACGAGAATGTGCTTGGAAGAAACTTTACATCCAGGTATCCTTCTGTTCAAAATGTATGATCCAATTGTCATTGAGTAAGCATTACAGCTATGTAGTGGGTTAATGTCACGTATGGTCACTAAACTTTACTAACTTTGACATTAAATCACAAAACTATTCTTTGTCAAAAGATAATTTCGTGACTTTACCATTATAGTGGGTAAAGTTTAGTGACTTTACCATTATAGTGGGTAAAGTTTAGTTACTTTAATATGACAAAAAATAATTCTGTGACTTTACTGTTCTTTAAAGTTCAATGACCATATGTGAAATTACCCCTACATAAATTCTAGTTTACTTTTTTGATCATTGGCTATATTAAGCATATATTCGTCCCAAAAATCTATCATTATGAGTAGTTCTAAGTTTGAGAGAAACTTGAAAACTTGATTTTTATTTAGAGAAAGTTTATCCTTGTTGAGGCATAATATAAATAAGTAGTTAAAAATGTACTCTCTCTAACCGTTTTAAGTTTTTAGCTAAATAGTCAAACACTTCACCCTATTCCTGGTTTACCAAATATTAGGCCCTCATTTTATTTTGTTCACGCTCCAGATGTCCAGCCCTAGGTGTGGCTTGGTTGATGAAATGTATTGTTGTCTCCTTATATGTTTTTGGACAATCCTCACATCATGAGTTAGATTTTGGAGTTGAGTTAGAGGGAAATGCATTTTCTTTTTAACAAAGCAAGCAAGAGATTCTATGTTCAGATCTCACAACCTTCAAAAAAGCTAAAAATAGTTTCATGTGTTTGTCCCATGAAAAAGAATTAGGTACACCCCCAGGGGTTAGTACAATTGGCAAAGGTTGAGCGACTTGTGCTTTAGGTCACAAGTTCGAGCCTTGCACCAAGCGAACTAACTCTCGTATTTAAGTGGGGAAAGGTAGAGGGTGGGCCTGCATCCCCACGTTTCAAAGGTTGTGGTTGGTCCAAAGGATCGGCTCCTGAAAAAAAAAGAGTTAGGTCCAAATGTAAGGAGACATGTTGAGGCATAATATAATCAAGTAGAGGAAAGTGTTAGAGAGAGCATACTTTTATCAAGGTTATGAAGGGACATAGTAAAATTATATTGGGAAGTGCAAGGGGAACTGTCGTCTCATTTCTGTCATCATGAATGGAAGGATATGATAAATACTATGTACTTTGATAGTTATGATTTTATCTAATTCAGAAAAAAGGATCAATTGACGAGATACTGAAGTGAGGCATCTGGGATGTTTCTTTAATTTATTTTGCTGTAGTGTGTATATATTAGCATTAAGTGTGTTTTTGATTTACTAATTTGATGTATCCTCAAACTTAAATTAATTTGGGTCAAATTGAATGCTTTTTCAAACAGCGTGATGCAGAGGATATGATGGAGTTTGTCAGGAATACTCCTAAGGAATTTAAGGAGTATTGTATCCAAATGCAGGCAGCAAAAAGAAGCCAAGCTCCTCTTCCTTCTCAGGTAACTGGAGGTCTTTTTAGAAACTTCACAATATTGCATGAGTCTGGGCAGTTACAAATAAATTCATAATTTATATCCCTGATTTATGGCTGTAAATCGTCCAAGAGACCTTTCCCTTTATTTCCTACGTGAACAATGCCTTCACTTTTCTTTTTTCCCAGTGAAAACAAGACATAAATAGCAAAAACATTATCACTTAAATAAACCTTAACACCCTACATTTTGATTTCCGTCAAGTTGTATGTGGTCTTATGAGTAGTTACCATATTTTTTGGCTTTAATGTACAGATAAATGATGACCGAATAATTCTTGATAAAACGGTTGCTGATCAAGTCTCTATGTGGAAGAAAAGCAAAGGTCTGGGTGATAAAGTGGTGATTGATCATTCGTGCTCTGGGGAGACGTGCAATTACTATCAAATAGGAGATGTATATGTTTGTGAGAAAACTGGACACGTCCATGGTAAGAAATGGGTTGCTTAGGTGCAGCTTAGTCGTTAGATATGTACAATGAGATTCCTGTGTATTTGACCTTGACCTACTGTCGCTTATTGGTTCTCTTTTATGTGTGCATGTGCAGTTTGTGATGACACGTGTAGGGAAGTTGTACCTGATCCCCCAAATGGTCTTCTGGTGTGTACCATTTCAGGCCACTGTTTTGAAAGGATGTTGTCACCTTCCGAAATGGAACAAGATGGGGTAAGAAACAAGTAACTTGTAGTGCCATTTCTGAAAGAACCGAAGTTTATGAGCGAAGCAAAATTCCTTGTTCCATGTAGAAAAGGGGAAAATAGAAACAGTTTGTTGCCTATTCTAATGCAACTTGGAACTGCAGCAAAATAAAAGATAAACTTCAAAGCATATGTTTACTGTGGTTTTGGAACTTCTTGCATTGGTAAAATATTCGCTGCATTTTCCGCAAAATCAGCAGTTGTAATGCACCAAAGCTTACTTGCTTGGTGGTTGTGGTGGATAAAGTACACAGTTCATATATGGAATTACGCTTATCTTTACTAAAAATTTAAAGCTGCTGCACTGATGTTAACATACTAGAATACAACAGCTATGCAGGATGGAATGAGAAGTAGGTCAACTGTCTCCTTGACTGTAAAATCTAGTCTTATTAGGGTCTTCAGGCTATGATTCCGGTTGGATTATTATCTCCGGAACGTGAGTAGGCACCTTTCGTCTTATTGTGGGGTGTAATTTCTCTCATGCATATCTTTGTGATGTTTTGGGCTGTGCGAAGCTTGTTCATGGCTGATTTTGATTTTAGAATGTATAATGCATATCTTGCAGTAGATTTTTGGTTACTATATCTTCTATTTGCACCTTGTGCTTATATGGTGTCTGTTGTAAATACATCCTTGAGACTAGCATCTCCTCTCTATGATAGTATGACTAGCAAGTACCGTAAAGATACTAAAAGTAGAATGTTGTACTTATCTTATTTATAAACCCTCAGGATTGGCCTGGTGGCAATCGACTTGAGTCTTGGGTTTGCTCCCTTTCAAGGTCTCAAGTTCGAAACCCACTGGGTGCAAACAATTTCTGATGGCCATCGGACTGGGTAAAACCTGAATTAATCGTGGTGCACTTGCGGGAAACTCCTAGCCGAGGGCCTGTGCACCTCGGGATTAGTCGGGGCTCTTAGAGACTCGGACACCCGGTGCAAATCAAAAAAAAAAAATTATCTTATTTATAGTATAACTTTAGCTAATTTTACGTTTATAATAGGAGCAGCAACAAGGTGGCACTACAGATGAAGCGGAGCCATTCATGGGATCGGGTCGTTTTGGTATATATACTGTTGTATCAATTTTTACTTTTGGCTGCTCATCTCCTTTTATTCTATCTTTTTTCTCCTTTTTACTATTTCAGCTCGAGCTTATTTATTGGGATACAACTATGATGACGAGAAGGAACTATGACTGTCCAACGGGATGGGACAAAATTAACGGGACAGGACGAAACGGGACAAAACGGTCGTCCCACCCGTCCCGCTAACAAACGGGACGGAACGGGATGGGACAAGACGGGACGGGTTCGTGGGCCTTAAGTGTATTTTTTTTTTAAAAAAACGTCTAGTTTTTTGAAAATTATTATGTTTTTAAAGTTTGCAACGGCTAGATTTTTGACTTATTTAATAAACTTAAATGTTATTATGTTAAAACGAAAATTAGAAAACCAAGTAAAGAATTATAAAATATTAAAACAAAAGACTTGTAATGAAATATTCTAGTAATTGTAAATTTATAATAGAGTTATAATTTATTTAATATAATTTCAAAGTATTAACTATTAAGTAACTAAGACAATTCATAAAAAAAATTCAACGCTTAGAGCTTTTTATTTTATTAATGGAACTTTCAAATTTCAAATACAAATATAATTCTTTTGAAGAGCACCTAATCTACGCAGCCACCTTCTAGGAAGGGTTCTGTTTGAACTAGGCCTCTTAGTAGCCAATTACAAATTATCATACTAATATTTGTAAGCTCCTATATAGCTTCTTTGTAACTTATCAATAATATCTCTCGGACATTGTTCTGGAATTGGTAGTGTTGAATGTTGATTGATGTTCTATGAGTCATGTCGTTATCGGTCCCAATGCTAAGTATCTCATTGTATTTTTCTTCTTCCCTAGTGTTAATTTTTCAAAACCTAGATTTCTTCTTTCTGCATTAATCCAATCTCTGAATAATACGGAAATCTCTAGGTTGTCCTCTGCTAATGAATGTCTATGATCTCCGATTTGAAATATTGTTGCGCTAAAAGCATTCTCCGGTGCTAAGAATCAAGTTCATCATCAATAGAGGAATCAAAACATGTTATATCATCAATATCTTCCTATAAGAATTTCTACTCTAGACTTAGAAGTAGAAGGAGCAGTTTCACCACTTGTTGTTTCTATAGATTTATATTTATCAAACATTGATCTAGATTCTAACATAAGAATATATATTAGCTTGGAAGTCTTCGAGATTCTTGAATTGCTAAATTTTGATAAATTTTACGAATAAGTCCATTTGCACCTCTTAATTTTAAATATGGATTAAGTATTGTAGAAATTAAATAAACTTGGGGAATAGAGAAAAAATACTTTTTAAATTTTGCAATCATTTCATTAATGGCCGGTGCATAAGTTGGATTTGTTTTATACTAACCAAATACAACAGAAATTCCACAAATATACCATAAAAACTCGTGGGACAGGCTGGGCGGGACGGAACGGGACGGAACGAGATGGGACGGGACAGGCGAGACGGGACGGGACAAAACGGGACGAAATGGCCGTCCCGTTCCATCCCGTGTCCCGTTTAACATTGGCCCATCCCGTTTAACTTGGGGCAGGACGGGACGGGACGGGACGGGCCGGCCCGTCCCGTTGGACAGCCTTAGAAGGAACTAGAAGCTGCTTTGCGTTTTTGCTGATTCCACTGCTCCTGTGTATAGCTAAAGCTTTTGGCTCTAGTGATGACATTCTAGCAGTTTAGTTTAAATCTTGCAATTGTAGATCGCTAAATTAAGTATTACCAAGTTTTGTTTTTCACTTAAAATTTCTAATAAGCTACTCTCTTATCATTAAATAAATACCCAAAATGGGTCTCCCGTGACTCATGCCCTTCAGTTTTCTCTAATCACCTGGAGAAAGATCCAGTTTGCCTTTAGTCCAGAGGTTGTGGGGAAAAATCGTTACTTGATGTTACCAACCGCAGTAAAGAAGGAAAATAGTAGTGGTGCGTGAAGGCATCCACTATGAAAAAAAGTGTTGAACCTCCATACGACTTAGTAGACAACAAATTAAGATTGACATTTAATATTATCACAGACGATCAATTCATTCAAAGGTATATTCCTGTATCCAAAGTCCATTCCATCACGTAAAGTGTAAAAATTGCATGGGGAGCCCTATTTGGTCGTCCCCATTTAACCTATACCTATTTTTTAATTTTTTTTTTCTTGTACCCATTTTTTAAACAACTTCAGCCCCCTTTCTCCTCCTTCTCCTCCTCTTTTGTTTTCTTCTTCTTCTTTCTTCTGCTGTTGTTGGTGCTGTTATGAAACTTCAGTTCATGGGATGATTGCCATAAGTATGTTTATCAGATTATTTAAAAATAAAATTATAAATAATTACGTAAGTTAGTAGACAATAATTTGTGAATATTTTCACTTAATTCCGTTCTTTTCACGTTTATTGTTTCCAAAATTTATGATTTAGATACTGTTGGCAATCTAATTATTTTATAGTAGTAATACAATATGAAAGAATAAGGTGATTTTTTATCTGGTATGTTAGAAAGCTTTTTCAAAAACTTCAGCTTATATAGTGCTGAAGTTTTTACAAATGAACTAAATCACTTCAGCATCTTCTGCTGAAGTTTTTGAAAAAGCTTTATGACAAAATTAATGAATCCAGGACAAAAAAACTTCAGCTTATATAGTGCTGAAGTTTTTACAAATGAATTAAATAACTTCAGCATCTTCTGCTGAAGTTTTTGAAAAAGCTTTATGACAAAATTAATGAATCCAGGACAAAAAAACTTCAGCTTATATAGTGCTGAAGTTTTTACAAATGAATTAAATAACTTCAGCATCTTCTGCTGAAGTTTTTGAGAAAGTTTATCCAGGACAAAAAAACTTCAGCTTATTTAGTGCTGAAGTTTTTACAAATGAACTAAATAACTTCAGCATCTTCTGCTGAAGTTTTTGAAAAAGCTTATCCAGGACAAAAAAACTTCAGCTTATTTAGTGCTGAAGTTTTTACAAATGAACTAAATAACTTCAGCATCTTCTGCTGAAGTTTTTGAAAAAGCTTATCCAGGACAAAAAAACTTCAGCTTATTTAGTGCTGAAGTTTTTACAAATGAACTAAATAACTTCAGCATCTTCTGCTGAAGTTTTTGAAAAAGCTTTATGACAAAACTAATGAATCCAGGACAAAAAAACTTCAGCTTATATAGTGCTGAAGTTTTTATAAATGAATTAAATAACTTCAGCATCTTCTGCTGAAATTTTTGAAAAAATTTATACAGGACAAAAAAACTTCAGCTTATTTAGTGCTGAAGTTTTTACAAATGAACTAAATAACTTCAGCATCTTCTGCTGAAGTTTTTGAAAAAGCTTTATGACAAAACTAATGAATCCAGGACAAAAAAACTTCAGCTACTTTAGTGCTGAAGTTTTTACAAATGAACTAAATAACTTCAGCATCTTATCCAGGACAAAAAAATTTCAGTGTATTGCCTTTGCTACTTTAGGCCCGTCCACTAGACTGCTGAAGTTTTGCATGATTGCCTTTGCTACTTCAGCCTCGTATGTTGAAGTTACGCGAAAAAGTGGGTACCCTTGTAATTTTTTTTGCAAAGCGGGCACAAGTTAAAACGTGACCAAAAAAGCAGGTATAGATGCAAATCCCCCATGTAAAGTTGCTACTTTCAAAACTTAAAGCCACATGCATTTATGCGTGCAATAAATAAGTATCTTATCAAAAGAACCAGGCAGAATAAATCGACAACCCATTAAACTTGTCCCCACTTTCTTGAGTCTGCTCCATTTGAACCCTGTATGAGTCAACTTTCGTGGGAATCGCAAATGTTGAGCGCCTGAGTATTATAAAAAAAAGCTGACATGGACTATTCCAACGGTAATAAACCAAAGCCCAAATTATTTTAACCCCTTTATCCATTGTTCTCTTCTTCCAAGCCCTAAATTTTCACCATTTCAATTGAGCTAAATTCTTCATCAAGTAGTGAAAATCGGAGCTTTTTTTCCCCTCAATTTGAAAGAACTCCATCCCCCTTAGTCAAATTCTTGCCGTAATCTTTCCTGCTATCTTCTCTTAATTTCTAGTTGAACAATGTCCCAAAACACCGAAAAGGTTGACTCTTGTTGATGTGGTCGTCCGTGTAAACTTAAAATTTCATGGAGTCCAGCTAGCCCAGAAAGAAGGTACTTTGTATGCAAAATCGACAAAGTAATTGTATTCTGCCAAAAACTTTGTATGCTACAATTTTGTTATAACTATTTTACACGATTTTATTTTCCATTGATTTATACCCATTCATTATTTTTTATTGTTTGAAGGACAATGGTGAATGTAAATATTTTAGATGGTTTGAGGACGAGTTTCCTGAGCAAGCGAATAGAGTTATTTGGGGTTTGTTGAAGAGAGTGAAGGACTTTGATCAAGAAAGAGATCGAGCAAAAAAATGGAGGAACGCACTAGTGTTTGTTGTCTACTGATGGCCTTAATCATTTGTCTTTGTTGTGGTTCTTGCTCTTGTTGATGGAAACTGTTCTATTTGGCTTTGGTCTTTTATGAATTTTTGGGAAAACTATTTGTAATTTAGGCTAGCTAATGTAGTTAGTGCCTTGTGTTGCTTTTGTTTTGTTTATTGTTGCTGCACTTCGGATGGTTGGGATCCTATTTTGTATAATTGATATTGTCTTATCAATACAATGTATATTTGTTTTTATTAAAAAATGTTGCAATTCTTTAGTGTTTACTGTTGTTATACTCGTATGTGAATGTTGCCTTATTAAATGAATGTATCAGCTGTTTTTATTCTAAAATGTTGCAAATCAAAAGCTAGTTCATTGTTGCCTTAAGAATGGGATGGAATGTAGTTCATACCAAAGGATGAAAAGAAGTGCAACAAATTACATTGAACCAAAAGTAATTTTAGACACAAAGAAGTGTTGTATATTACATAATCCAGTTCCAAAAGATGAAATTAAGTGCATCAAGTTACATTGAACAAAAAAAGGCAATTTTAATAAAAACAAGTGCTGCATATTACATAATCTTGACTCATCACTAATTTTTTTGACTACTTTATCCATAATCACTTAAGTTGAAGATTGAGATGATGCTTGTGGTCCAACTTAGTTTCTTCTACTTGCACTCATTTGCTGTAGTTGTGAAGTAGTAATAACATCTTCCCCATTTCATCTAAGTACTGGAAGTCTAATTCCATCATCCAGATTCACATTGGTGGTATTCCTTACTCTAGTCCCATGGTTGACAACCCTCTAACTTGAAGTGTCGGACTGCAATTGTCAAAAACCAGAAACATAAGTAAAAAAATTGAAAATAATTAGAATTGAAATGTGCAAGATTCTTACGTTAAGGACTATCCTTCTAGTCTTTGGGTTAGTGTAGCATCCAA